ACGATCCTAGGTGGATACATTCTGTCCTGCATTCGGTTGGAACGCAGTTAGGAACCCAGCGAATGCAGGACAGAATGTATCCACCTAGGATCGTGAGATTTATGCACGCGGTAAGGTGGGTAATCGGGAAGCACCTTTATAGTGTGTCTCTGTCGCGTACTGATCAATAAACGAACCTTCTTCATTGAACTTGCCTATAGAGAAAAAAGAAGAAAAAATGGTATAAAAAGATGCGGGATGGGGGATGAAATCGGACGGCGTAAAAACATTTCAGTAGTATACGCCAAACATAAATGTCAAAATGGCATGGAAAAGGTCAAGTGAGATCCGCTATGAAAGCTACTTCTGTCGCATGGCGATGCCATTTGCGGTGTATAGCAGTCAATTCTAAAAATAGGACTAATAAACCGGAATCTTATGGAGGCTTCCACGGACCCTAATTCGTGTCAGCCAACCCGGATTGACGTGGACGAGGTATGACAATGTGGCATTCAGATGAGTCGAATCAACCTCATAATTGACTCATCTGCATATTGTTTAGACACGATAAAATACGCAGGCATAGCTATTCCGTACGTCAACGCAGACGTGATATGTGCATCAACAAGGACAGTCTTTGAACCGCACTTTTTCTCACGAATTGATCAGCGGTGGGTGGTGGTGGCGCAGTAGTTTAGCTGCTGTTGCGTGCTTTCGACCCTATGGTCCGAGGTTTAAGACCCGCCACTGCCAGCGAATTTGGGTGAGAGGCAGCTTTGCTGTCGTCCGGTTCAATTACACACACTTAACCTAGCGGGGTCTTGAGTGGTTTCCCCACTCCAAGTCCCGGGGCTTAGGTCACCGGTTTCCACCACTGAACAGCAGGTCCTCGTGTCTATGGGGAATTGCCTCGTCTGCTATTCATCCCACTAAGGTGTGTAATAAAAATTAAAAAACAGTGTTATTCACACGCTTTAGACCAAAAGGAATACCACCGCAAATAGTCTAAATATCGTTTTTAAATGTCATGTGGGGTTAGAGCAACTTGCCCGGCACACGGTAACCGACTGCACACATTGATCACATGCTTGATTGAGAAGCATATAAACACTTACCGGGATCGAGATTATAATCGTCCAATTCGCCGTCTGCGTCACTGCCAATCTCTGCACTGTCATCGTTCAGGGAGCAACGACTTCCTCGCAATGGAGGCTCCTCCCTATGATTAAACAAAGTGATGCGAGGGAAACAGAACGATGGTTAAAAATCCCGCTTCGTTGCACAGCAAAAAAACAGATAGCAAAGTACAGAAAAAATCAGAACTTTTCGAAATATAAACAGTACCGAGATACAAGAGGAGTCAAACGAAGTAGATCTTCCGAAAAAAGCGGAGTGTACAAACAGTCAATCGCAACGAGAAGCACGCAAGCATACACAGTACAGAGATCTAATGATAGCTCGTTCAACCCAATACCCCAGTGTATCCCACCGGAGTTGTTCTCCTTCTATTTCAAATGGGCTCTGAATACCAACATGACAACCAAATCTATTGATTATTTGTCTAGTCAAGTGAACTGCCAACCGATTAAACAATTAACAACGAGGGTGTAAAGAAATGCACTTGCCTAATGGTATGTGCCTTCCTTCACTGAACGAACGGGTTTCGCTGTGCACATTAGACAAGACACAAGAAGGAGAGCTGATTTGACAGATGCAGACTGATTTTTAAGCGAGGCCCGGATTCAGAAACTTACCTCCCCCCCACCAGTTAACGCTGAATACGTGTGACCCCAAGCAACATAAACATAAAAGCAAACGAACTATCCAAAAATACCATCCAAATGCATATTTTACTCTATCTGTGTTCGCCACAGATTCTTTCCACAGTACTGAAACCGGTCTTTGTCAAGCGGGCGATAAACTATACAACTAGACATTGTATATCATCTCGGTTTGACCGACTCGTACGGACGGACGTCACTATCAGAGGAAAGCGCACTCTCATTGTACGACATAAACAATCACTCGGGCACTGTGATTCACAGAGCGTGCTTAGGGAGCGGGGAGGGGAGACGGTTCTATCAGGAGTGGACTGTCGGGTGTTGGAGTCGGTGAACTGTGAAAGCCCCGAAAAAATCCATTCCGCTAGTCAGACGAAACCGAACAAAACCGCAGAACAAAGAGACAGAACCAGAGAAAAAGTGAGAGATGAAAGCAAGCTGACGGCAGATGTGGACGGGCGAGTATCGGCTAATTAGCCAACCGATCAAGTGACAATTCGATGAAAAAACTCAGGACAACTCCAGAGAAACAAGCTAACCGCAAATTGGGGCCATTGAGATTCGAGTTTGGGTTGAACTGTTGTTGGGGTGAACATTCTCAATGAACAAACAGAAAAGATAGGCCAATGCAGTAAGATGGGCATTCTTAAGGAGTCCAAATACCAGAAATTTCGCATTGCTCCTTGAAAATCTTCACAGTACTTTGCAAAAGCACTGTTTATTCA